GCTGGCTGATTGTAAAAGGGTTTGACTTGCAACTGACCTCAGGGTCAGGACTTTCTCTCTACTAATCCTGCTCTCTTTAAACACAAAAACACTCTGCCCTCTTCCCTCACATCACTCATCTTAATCCCCCCTCTAACCCCCTCTGCCGACACCCTGGTCTCTGAGGCAGTGGTGTGGACTGGGCGGGGGCTTCCCGTCTACAGGCCTCCAGGACCGTGCTTTGGACCCAACGCCCCCTCCTGCCCCCCGCAGGACGAGGGGACCGAGAAGACGGCAATGCGGTGGGAGAAGAATGGGCTGATCCCCAAGCACCTGCTTGACCCTGACACGAAATCTCAGAGAAAGCGTTCTGTCCTGTCCCGAGGCTGGGCCGGGACAGACGAAGAGGGCGACCGGCAATGAAGGGGAGGAAGGAAGAGGGAAGAGAAAAAAGACAAAGGAAATAGCTGGGGAACACACAGAAAGAGAAAGATGTGAAAATCAAGTCGGTATTTGGAGACCGACAAAGAGAGGCGTGAATAAAGGAAAAGTGGAGGAAATGAAGAAATAAACTCTAGTGACAGGGACGAGGAGGGACTAGAAAAGTGGAGAGGGGAAGTGGCGTGGGAATGAGGATGGAAAGGCCAGGAAATACCAAATTGTTACAGGGTTCAATCCTGAGTACACAAAAAGAAAGTGGCAGGTACAGAGTGGGGGAAAGTGTGCTTGAACCCAGGCAGGGAATGGGAACCACAGGGCCTGGAAAAACGCAGGGCTGCCTGAGCGGAGGGCGAGTCGGTGAGTTCAGGGCTTGGTGGCCCAGGACACTGGCCAGAGAGCCAGAGCCCCCCGCCAGGGACATCGCTTTATTTCTCCGGGGGGCCGAGCCAACAGTTCAGGGGCGCCCTGCCTCCTCCAGGCCCAGCGGGTCTGGGGACGCGGGGAGTGGAGCGGCGAGGCGGGCGCGCAGCTGGAGAGGAAGGGACCGGCGGGGAGGGAGGGGGAGAAAGGAAGGCAGGCAGGAAGGCCGCGGGCCTCCCGCAGGGCCCTCGCAGCAGGCTCGGGGAGGCGGGCCGGGGGGCTGGGAGCCGAGTGCCGAGGAGGCGGGAGCGGGCAGGGGGGCCCTGCGCATCCCCAGCCTGCAGGCACCCCACTCCGCACTCGCTGGCCCATTCCGAGTCCTCGCCCTGCGCCCTGAGTGCAGCCTCCACCCCAGCAGCACCAGGGGCGGCGGGCGGGGAGGCGCAGCTCTTCACCCTGGGGGACCCGCACAGCCCCCGCCCCTCAACCTCCTCCCCATCTGGCTGGCCCTTTCAATCCCGCCAAATAGTCACGCTGGAAAAAGAGCTACAACCAAGGCCAAGTTTGCTTTTCACTTGAAGTTTCCAAGGAATCAAACCTATTATTAAAATCTGCTCTCCCGCGTTTCTGGTGTCTCTGCCCCTGGAGCAAGGCTGCGGAAGCGAAGGCTGGGGGGCGAGGGCAGAGGGTGGGGAGAAAGGATGCTGGGTGCCTGCAGGGTGAGGTGGGAGGTGCTGGAGCCCGGACTGACCTCGAATCGCTCTCTCGGTGGGACTAGGGTCTTAGGAACATTTTCTCTAATTAGCAGAAATGCTCCAGAAACAAAAATCTGCGCTGCCCAGTCTTTACAGAGAGAATAAAATGCGTGAATGTTATTCTTCTCTCGCATGCATTGTTTTACTAGCCCTGTCAGTCACGCTACCCAACAAACACCTGCAGATCAAGAACGCTACACCCACAGCGGTTCTTTAAAAATTAATTCATTTCATCTCACTCCTTGGAGAAGGGGGAGTGGTGGGGGTGTCAAAGTCTTACCAACAACAACAAAAAGGGCAGAGTGAGTTGGAAACAAAACAAAAAAACTGAACAAATAATCCTCACCCAAAGCATCTTACAGTCAGTTTAATGAGATCTGGCCTGGGAGGAACTGCCTGATGAGGAAGAAATCAGGAACTCGTTGGAAGAAAGGCAGGAAGTTGTTCAAACTTTGTAAAATACCTCAAAATGGTCTTTCCTGCGTGTTTCGCACGGTTTACCAAACTATTGGAGCAATGAAAATACCAACCTGTGATTTGGGAAATGAATGAAATAATGATCTAATAATTAGAATAATAAAACATTCCTTTCCTGAAGATTACTATTACCTTGGCAAGAGGCGCGTTTGCCACCATGAGGAACATCTCCAGGTTCTAGACGAAAGTTTTCTCTAGAATTCAGTTTGGAGAGACATGACTCGGTGACAGGACCTCACTTGTGAGAAACAAATCCCAGCAACAAATCTCTACTCCCTTCTTCATGTTTTTCTCTCAGCCATGAAATACTTTATATTGGTTTTTCAGCGTTAACCAAACAAAAAGGGAAACTGTGGAAATAGCAGGGCATGAGGTCCCTGGTACGTCTGTTTCAGCTATGAGGCACATCCCATAGAATGATAAACTTTCTCTTTCAGGAAACCAGTGACAGGTTCGCTAGTGCACCAACTAAACTTTTTGTATATCTGCAGCTTTTAAAGTGGGACCACCAAACTCTGTTGGGACTTATACTACTCATGTGCTTGCTGAGCCAGAATATTGATGCCAACAGTTGAACAGAAGTACAAAATTGGGCCTGTGCCTATGTGAGCACAGTCACAGAAGCATATAGTTCTAATGAAGTACCAGGAGAGGTTGAGATAGGGTCTTAACAAGAGAAGAGCTGGGAGCCAAATTGAACTCTCTGAGTAAAGTGTCCTGGACGTGAAAGCATGACGGTGAATGCAGAATTTTCCAAAGCATCTCCCAGAGGAGATGTGCGTGGTTCATATTCCAGGATTATTTCATCATGCTACTCCATTCATAGATACATAGGCACCCAAATATTTTTAAAACCACCATTTCATCAAGGATCAACTTACTGAAAGACAAAAGGGGAGACGTTTATTATCTTGTTGGACAGCGGTAAACATCTTTCTTGGAATTGCTGCAGTCACTTGAAGGAATGAATGGTTTAAGTAATATTAATAAGATGACTTTTTTTTTAAAAAAAATCACACATCAGCTGTCAGGTTAGCATTATATGTAAAGTGTAATCCGGAACATACATGGAATTCGGTTCTCATTGCCATCTTGCACAGGCCCACATTTGGGCTGATAGTCCATCCTCATTCCAGGACACAAAAAGATGTTCAGGAAGTGGGATGGAGAGGGGTAAAGCCGCTGCAATCAACATACTTCGTGGTAGACTTTAAAACATTCCCCCCAAACAAAAATAGAATATCTTAGTGCTGTTGACAAATTTCAAAATATATTTGCTACAGTAAAATTTTAAATGCACTATTTAATGCCTCAGATTACTTGAAGACAAAGTTTTACAGAAAACTTTAGATTCCAGCAAAAAAAAAAAGTTGCAATAATAAACACCTAGGGGAAAAATGTCTTTAAGAAATTTTAAAGTGTCACACAACCCCAAGGTCTCATCAGAAATAAGAAACATGATATGTTGTGTTCATATATATGAGGAATTCTGGGCAGGGTGGGAGGATGGATATTGATTTTTTTTTCCTTTGCCTGTGTATGTGTGAAAATCCTACAAAAATATTTGGCCAATTCCTGAGGAGAAAGAGCACAGAGGGAGTGATTAAGTGTGGACCTAGGACCCCAGGTACGGGGCATTTTGGTTTATAGATTGTGTTTGCTTGAGTTCATTCCAGATACATTCCACTTGCTATTCTGCTAATTACAGGGGGTTGAGGCAGCTGCCCCAGCCATCATCTTTATCCCCTTATCTTTGGCCTCGCCCAGCCCCTCGGGTTCTCCCCTTCTCTTTCCTCCTCCAGACCAAAATGTGGTGCAGTTCTGAAACCAGACTCTGTCACAGCCAGCAGTTAGAAACAAGCAAAGGAACGGGACAAACTAGAAAAATATTTTTTTAAAACTATTTCTTTTTCTGGTCAACACTGGTAAACTATGTGAAGTAATTTCGCTCTAGACCTCTTTTGTCGGTTTTGACTGGCTTCCCTTCCATTCACTTTGTGGAAATTCTACTTTCATTCCTAGGGTTTTGTCTTTTTAGTTCATGGCTAGAATTTATTTTCTCTTCCACATTTGCTCATTATGTTCTGAAGTAATAAAACATGCATACAAAATTAGCACGTTTCAAATGTATGGAAAACCGGGGTGTTTTTTTTTTCCTTTTAAATTTATTGACTCAAAATTCAATGCATCTCTAGAGGGGGTTCTTTGTCGTTTTAGAAGAAAGGCTTTTTAAGAAACTATATACATAATTTGAATCTCCCTCCTCCACACAGCAATGCCTAAAATAAAAATTTCACAATGCATTTACATGAAATAATACAAAACAAAAAAAAATCAAAATTTTCAGATACACAAAGTTTTACAAAACCCAGAATATAACGTCTCCGTCTAAAAAGGGTGGGGGACCTTCTTTGTATAAATTAACAAACCAAAAAGAAAAAAAAAAGCGGTAACAACTACAAAAAACTTTTAAGTGTTTAGATTTGCCTTACTACATATATAACAAATGAGAACAATTTCCCCATCACTTTGCCTTAGGCAATAAAAAGCCATCAAGAAGCGATGCAAGAATGAAAGTTGCTGCTCCAACGGTTATAGAAAAGTTGGCATTGCCTATAATTTTTGTTCTGTCTTTGCGTCCTCTTTAGCAAATAAAACGCTTTCTGCCTCCTCCTCCATGAATGATAAATACTGTACAAAAAGTCTCAATAAAACACCGAAGTTCAGTCTAAAACGCAAAACTTGTGGCCACGACTAGTCGTCCCCAGGAGCTTCTAAAAAGGTAAGTAGAGCAATGGTTACCTTCTCTTCCTCATCAATATTTTCATTTTTACAAGAACATGAAAACATTCTGTACAAAAAGGAAGGCCAGGTCTGGGCTGGGGCTGGACCGCGCCGGGAGCGCAGGTGGCGGCGTCCAAGGGCCCCCGCGCCGGCGCTGGGCAGTCAGGTCCCGGCCCGGCCACCGGTGTCGCCGCGCGCAGGCCGCTAGATGTGCGTCAGGGGCACCGTGCCGTTGACGCCCGAGCCGGCGCCCTGGTAGTGCTGGGGCAGCGAGTGCAGCCGGCTCTGCGCCGCGGCCGCCGCGGCTGCCGCGGCTGGGTCGCCGCCTTCGCCGGCGGGTAAGTACATGCTGATCATCTCGCGCAGGTCCCCGGGGCAGGGCGCCCGCGAGTGCGAAGTGACGGGCGGGCTGACGCTGGGCTCGGACTTTACGAGCGAGCCGAGCGCGCCCAGGGCGCCCG